TGGGTTCTAATCTGGGCTTTTCTAAATGCAAGTTTTTGCCCTTAGGTAAATTACTCAACCCTGAAAAGCCTCAGTTTGCTTGTCTGTGAAGTGGATGTAATAGGCTTAGCACCTAAAAGGTGCTTAGTAAATTATTGCTACTAATATTTCCTCCCTTTTTATACCAGTCTACACAGCCAAACAGCCTGGTTAAGTCTGAGTATTCAGCCTCCAAGGAGAATAGCTAACCATCTGAAAGTATAACAAAAACATATGCATTGGAGGTTTTTGTTTGCAGGCAACAGAATCTGATTCTGATTGACTTAGACCAAAAGAGAATCTATTACAGATATATGATTAAACACAATTGAGACTGACTGCCTGGTTAGAAGAGACAAAACTAGGCAGCTTCAGAAGGTCACTGGCACTAATGATTTTCTAGTGGTATTTCAGTCTTTACATGCCTCCATTTAATATTCAGAGTCCAAGCAGAGAGACTTTAATTTGTTGAGCCTTGGCCATCGGCCTTCTGAGTTATTGAGGCAAGATCTAGAGTAGTTTGTAAAGCATCTTGACTTAACTATATATCAAGACATCAATAATCATCAGGGAACTGCAAATCAAACCACAGTGAGATATCACCTTACCACTGTTAGAATGGCTATCATCAAAAACAAGGATGAAAGAGAAATTGGAACCCTTGTACATTGTTGGTGAGAATGTAAGAATGGTGTAGCCACTATGGAAAATAGTATGGTGGTTCCCCAAAAAAGTAAAAATAGAACTACCATATGACCCAGCTTTCCCTCTTCTGGGTGGTGATCCAACAAAATTGAAATCAGGATCTTGAAGAGATCTATGCACTCCCATGTTCACTGTAGCATTTTTCACAATAGCCAAGATATGGAAACAACCTAAATGTTTGTTGACAGATAAATGGATAAAGAAAATGTGGTATATACATGCAATGGAATATTACTCAGCGTTAAAGAAGAAGGAAATCTTGCCATATGCAACAACATGTATGAAACTGGAGGACCATTATGCTAAGTGAAATAAACCAGTGATAGAAAGACAAATACTGCATAATTCCACTTATATGGGGTATCTGAAAGAGTCAAACTCATAGAATCAAAGAAGGAAATGGTAGGAGGGGAAAAAGGGGAGTTGCTGTTCAACAAGTATATAGTTTCAATATGCAAGATAAATAAGTTCTGCGTATCTGCTGTATAACGTTGTGCTTATAGTTAACAATACTCTTATGCACTTAAAAATTTAAGAGAGTACATCTCATGTTAAGTGTTCTGTACACACACACACACACACACACACACACACACACACACACACACACACACAACTGTGCAGCTTGAGAAATTATTACCCAAAAGGTGCTGATAAATTGGGTGGCTTAACAATGGTAGAAGTCTACTTACCAAGTATCCATCCTCTGATGGTTAAAGAGTATGGCATCCAGCTAAGATCAAATGAATAGAGATAGAAATTGACTTTATGCTGACACCATCACATCTTCGTATCTGTTGAGAGCTTATAGCACCACCTACTGTTTTGAGATAAAATTTCTTTCTGTTAAAAGTTGTGGCTTATGTTTTAGAGTATTTAGGACAAGCAAGTGTCGTAAACCAAAGAGCTATAATTCTATGCAGTGCTTTAGGGAAAAAAAAAGGTGACTGCCCACTGATGGCTCCGTGTTGTTTATAGTGTTTGTAATCATAACTCTGAACTGCTGGTGTAAATTGCTGCTGCAAGATCCAGGCAGTAAGTGAAGTGGTAATAATGATGATAACTACTTTTTATATGCTTTGTACTGTTCTAAGTGCCTAATGTGGATTATCTCATTTAAACACCATCATAACTCTATGAGAGGTACTATTACATCCATTTGACTGATGAAGAGACTGAGGCACAGAGAAGTAACTTAGCGAAGATCATATGCCTCATAAGCAATAGAGCTGATATTTAAGCCCAGATAGTTTACTCTCTGGAGAGTAAATGCCTGGGACTCTCTGGAGCAAAGAATGCTCTCCTAATGATCAGTTACCCCACATGCATTTGTCAGCAAGGCACACCAGCAGTGTGACTCATTTTTCTTTTTACATCTGATTAATAACACACTATTGGGTTCAATAATATATTTTATTCACGCGAGTAATATACATAGTAATCATAGCCAAAACTTATATACTACTACATGCCAGGCACTCTTTTATGTACTTTATGTACATTAATTCGTTTATTCTTCTCAACAACCCTATGAGGTAAGTATTGTTTTTAATCCCCATTTTAAAGGTGAGGAAATGGTTAAGTAACTACCCAAGGTCACACAAGTAGGAAATGACAGAGGCAATATTTCAACCTGCATAGTCTGGCTGCAGAGTCTGTGTACTACAAAAGTCTGTGTGCTTATAAAAAGTTATTTAAAAATAGTACAAGTGTATACTTGGATATAACAGAAATCATGGAGGCCTGCATGGTGATGCTCAGATCTGGAAAAACAATGTGAAGGTGGAATGAAAATGTTTGAAGTTTAGGAAAGACTGATTTAAGTTGTTTCAGATTTTCAGTATCATAAATAATTCTGCATTGAATACCTTCCTGGGCACTCTTGGTATAATTTCTCAAGGGTGGGTACAGGGATGTGGATTCACTGCGTTATTGCTCTCCAAAATGGCTGTACCGACATGTTTTTATCTTTTTTGGGGGGGGTCACTTTAAGGGAGTTTTATATGGTCTCCGTAATCTCCCCTCCCCCGTCAGTGTTTCTAGAATGTGTAGGCCACTGAGGACTATTGGTAATAATATAAGTTAAGCAAAATGTGGTTGCTTATGACTCATAAGAGAAGGAGAATCTATATTCTGACCAAATAAGTATACTCAGTTCACTCCACTGTTGCAGAAGCTAGTATATTATCAAATACTTTGTTCATTCTACCAGTACATACATTTCTGAACTAGAAAGGATGAGGGGGCTATGGGCATTAATGCCACCTAGTGGTTACACTAAATTCTGCCTCCTAGAGGTTTTCAATCTTCAAAGTGCAGAAAAATTAGCAAAGGAGCTTGTTCAAAAATGAAATTCTTGGCCTTAACCCCAGTAGTCTAATTCAGAAGGAAGGAGAGAGAGAGAGAGGAGAGAGGAAGGGGGAGAGAGAGAGAGAGAGAGAGAGAGAGAGAGAGAGAGAGAGAGAGAGAGAGAGTGTGTGTGTGTGTGGTGGGTGTCCAGAAACCTGCATATTTAAAAGGCAGCCTGTGTGGTTGTTGGTTCTGACGTGTTTGCAGTTTCGCTGTTGGCTGGGCCCCCTCTTCTCCTTAATCCTCTTCTCCAGCAGCTGCCGTGGTACCTCCTGGGTTATGTGGGAGCTATGGGGATCTTCTGGGACTATTTTGAGTTGAGGAGGACCAGCTGAGCATGCACACAAGGGAACAGGCTAATGTGTTTGGGGATGAGAAGAGCCCAAACAATGACCTCAGTTTTGCCAAATCCATTTGCATTTCCTCTTTACTGATTTCTGTTGACCTCAGTGCTACTTTTGACTCTGTGGGTCACCTCCTACTTTTGTTTTTCTCTCCTTGGTATCCTTCAGCCTGGTATACAGGGTCTTCATAATCAGACTCTAGCCCATCTTCCAGGTCCCTCAATGATAATCCCTCTGTACACATTAATCTTTCAATATCCCACAGAATCATTCTCAGGCCTTTTCTCTTACTGCTTCTCCACCTCAAATTCTTACTCCCCGTTCTTTATGCTTTTAATGCAACCTTTAAGTTTTTTATAATTTTTTTTTTTTTTGACGGCTGGCCAGTATGGGCATCTGAACACTTTACCTTGGTGTTACAACACCACGCTGTAACCAACTGAGCTGACCAGCCAGCCCATTTATACATCCATCCATCTATCAATTTACTTATTCATTCATTCCTTGTGTTGTTTCTCTTGCCTGGAATATAAATTCTATTCATTCTTCAAGTGCCGTCCACTCAGCTAAGACAAATAGACTGTTCTCAGCTTCATTCATTGATTCCTTCTCTGAGATCTGCCAGCACCAAGAGTCCTGAATTGCCCACTAACTCTAAATTACATATTCCTGTGTGTTCGTGAACTCTGTTAGACTTTTTCTTCTGCTCTCGAGTAAATTGTAAGTTACATGAGGGTAGAAACTATTTTATGTAATTCTTTGGTATTTTCTAAAATTGTTTGCACATTCTAAATGCACAGTATGGCTTAGTGGACTTATTCCAACATATAATGAGTTGTCGTCATACTCACTTTTAAGAGAGAAGAAAAATAATCATTTTGTTGAACACCTGTTATTTGCCAGATACTGTGCTTGGAATTGTACATGTATTATCTTATTTAAAACTTAAAAGCCATGTGAGTAGAATTATACATTTTATAGATTAGAACAGTGGACTGAGAAATGTCTAATAAATTTGTGTAGCCATCATTAACAAGCATTTGGACCCAGGCCCATTTGACACCAAAACCCCTACCCTTTGTTCTACCACATTGCCTCTATTTTAGTTTTGGATCTTTCCTTTATGGTGTTTTGCAATGATGCTTTGCATTCCTGCTTTCCTTCCTTCAGACAGAGTCGGCTCTCAGGAATGAAGAGTGGCACTTTATCCTGGAATGACACTCTGTCCTGTTCCCTATACCGTTTCATGCCAGAGTGGCCTTCTTCACACACAGTTTGCTTGGTATATAAGTAAAGCAGTGTGCTCACCACTTTTTTTTTTTTTTTCCATTTTGGACTGGCTTTATTGGATTCAAAACATTTCGTACTGTTGAATCATTCAGGGCCCTGAAACACTGGGGTGCTTTCCGGAACACTTGTGGATAAACCTGGCATGTTGAGTCTTCTTCTCCATGCTCCTTTTGGAGATGTAAATGATCTCAGTGAGTGTGGTGATTTTTGGAGCTCTTTGTATAACTACCCCGGAAAACTTCTAAACTAACTCAATACAAATCTGCATTTGATCTGTTGTGTTTTCTACCACAGGGATTCAGAGCAAGCCCTCGGCATATCAGAAGACGAGCTGCAGTGGCTGCAGCTGCCCGTCTGGAAGAAGCAAAGCCCCTGGTGGAAGTTCACCATCAGAGTGAACAAGAAACATCAGTGAGGAAACGAAGAATCAAGAAAAATAGCCGAGTCCAGCCAGAATTTTATCACTCTGTTCAAGGTGCTTCAATGAGACGGCCTGTAAGTAGAGAATCATGTAAGAATATTAAACGCACCGTCAAATGTGTGGTTGTTCTTAGTTTTTAAAAATTATCAGATTAGGGCCGGCCCGGTGGCGCACTGCTACAGTGCGCCGCTTGGGAGCGTGGTGGCGCTCCCGCCGAGGGTTCGGATCCCACATACAGACCGGTTCCTGCTCACTGGCTGAGCGAGGGGCGGGAGCAACACCGAGGGTTGCGATCCCGTTGCCGGTCCCGGTCCGGTACGGGCGCAACACTGAGGGTTGCGATCTGTTGCCGGACATGAAAAAAAAGTAGAGAATCATGTAAGAATATTAAACGCACCGTCAAATGTGTGGTTGTTCTTAGTTTTTAAAAATTATCAGATTAGGGCCGGCCCGGTGGCGCACTGCTACAGTGCGCCGCTTGGGAGCGTGGTGGCGCTCCCGCCGAGGGTTCGGATCCCACATACAGACCGGTTCCTGCTCACTGGCTGAGCGAGGGGCGGGAGCAACACCGAGGGTTGCGATCCCGTTGCCGGTCCCGGTCCGGTACGGGCGCGACACTGAGGGTTGCGATCCGTTGCCGGACATGAAAAAAAAAAAAGACAAAAAGGGGAAAAAAAAAAAAATTATCAGATTAACTTAAAATAATCAGGTTATCCTGTTGTTATCCCCAACAAGTGGCAGTGTACTCATATGAGTTCCAGCAAGGAATGTGGTTTCAGAGAAGGTGCTGGTGTAGATTGTTGCCAAAGAGAAAAGAGTTAGTCACTGTCAGGCACCCTGATAGAAAAGCTGGTGGATCCGCAGCCTCATTGGAGCTGGGGGTCTAGAATGAGGCTGGGGCCATAGAGTCAAAAAGCTGAGGTGTGGCAGTGACAAGATCAGAGTTGGTGAAGAGGACAGTGACAAAGCCAGTATCGGGATAGGAGAAGCAATGGAGGGAAGTTGGGGCTGGAGTCTGAGCCTGTCCAGGAGGCTCTTGAGCCAGTAAAACCTGTACTTCTCTCTGCACACAGCCCAGGGTGACTCTGTAAGGGTCCTGGCCTTCTCAGGTATGGCCTTTATATTGTGTTAAGGCTGCACCATTGTCCTTTTCTTACCAAACAACCCTTGTCTCTGTTGGCTACAGTGCTGCCTTTCCTGGGAAATTCGGGGCTCAACTTGGATCTGGTCTTCACCTCCTTCTCACTTCCTGAGCACATTATCCTATGTGTGCTGATTTTTTGTTGTTGGTTTGGGTTCTGGCACATGGTCTTTTTACCAAGGCTGTGACAGTTAAGGATTTGGGGCTTAGATGCCATTTAAAAACTTTAAAAAGTACTTCATGACTGCAATTATTTTACATTGCTTTAGCATTAAAAAATATCTGTATCCCTATGCTGTGGGGAGCCTATTATTGTTGTTTCTCTTGCCAATCCAGGGAAGTCATCAAGATTTGACTTGATAATAAGTCTTTATGAATTACTAAAACAGAACTGCTCTTCTGTAGGGTAACTCTGTGGCAGGCACATGTGGAGATTACTAGAAAGCCAGGAGAATGTATGACTCAGTAACCAGGCCAACAGCAATGACAAGAAGCTAAATTCCTTTATTGAAAAGGTCCTGTTTGTCTTTAACCAATTGCAAAATACATATTTAGAGATGACAGTCTTCTTTTCATGGTTTAAGAAAACTAAAGCTATCTAAGTAGAATTTGGTATCTATGCAGAGAAATATGAAATAGGAAAATTTATTCATTCAACAAACATATGCTTTTTTATATACAGGAAGTAAGGGACATACAGATACATATTGATAACTAACAGCTATTGGGGGCTTAGTGTATAACAGGCATTATTTTATATCACTCACTTAGTAAATCCTGTGAGGTAGATGTTATTTTTCCAATTTTATGGACAATGAAACTGAGGCTAAGAGAGGGTAAATAATTTACCTAAGTTTACCTAGTTGTTTGGGGCAGAGTCTAGGATTTAGATCCAGGCATCCAGGGCCCAAGCACTTTCCTCTACACTCTGTTACCTTCCTGGAGTACCTGGTTTCTAGGAGCTCACAATTGAGTCAATTGACAGACACACAAACAAGTAAATATAATGCATGTTCTGTGCTATGAGAGTGTTACTGCAGAGATATACACAAAATAAGAAGGAGTTTATCACACAGAAAGTGGACGTAGGTATTCCATATGAAAAGAACATATACAAAAGCACAGAGGCATGGAAAGGTATGGCATACTCCGTGAACAGCTTGAGGTGGTGCTGGTAGCTGAGACTGGATGGGCTAGGTAGGGCCAGATCATAAGGGGCTTGCATATTTACTAAATAGTTGCACTTATCTTCTGTGATGGGGATCAATCGAAGGTGGGGAATAGGTGAATTGGTTCTCTTGCTGAGAATCTAGCTAGTTATTTGCTTCATTATTTGCTTCTAATCTCCCCACGTGGATCAGGATAGAGAAGTGATCATTATCAGAGTTTCGAAACCATCAACCACCATTGTTCCCTTGTGAGCCCTCTACATAACTACCTTGGTTAATAAGACATATTCTTCATGCCTCTGCAACTTTGAACCCACTGTCCACTTTGTCTTTGAATACTTATCTTCACTCTTTGCCTGGTGAACTTCAGTTCACCTCTTCAGACTGACTCATGCTCAAATGACTTGTTCAGTGAAGTCTTTTCTGATCCCTATCAGAGTGAGGTGCCCTTTGTTTTGATCCTCAGCAATTTGTACAAACCTCCAACTAGCAGCTATGCCAGTGAAAAAGAAGGACTATGCAGTTAGGCCCACATGGGTTCAAATGCTGCTCTGTGTATCTGCAGGAAACAGTTGGCACGCTAAGAGGACTTAGCTGAAGAGAGTTTAATGAAGGGATTATTTACAGAGGTGTAGGCAGGGCTACCCACCCTCATCAACCTCCAAATGGGACCTACCTGCCTACTACTCATGGCCTTAAGGGGAAGCAGAAGGCAGTGGTCTTACTGGATCCGAGTAGGAAGAACTGGAGCCTGGAGCCATGGAGGAGCCCTTCCACAGAAGCTGCAGCTGAGGAATGCAGCCAGTGTCAGAACCCAGTGAGTCAGGAGGGAGCAGGGGGTGAAAATATAGTGCCTTCTTTGCTCCTGCTGGTGCCTCCCATTGACCAACCCAACTGGAATCCAAAGGTTAAAGGAGCTTGGTTGGTGCAGATCATAAAGATCAGCCTCCCAGGGACTGAGCAAGGCAGAGATGGGCAGAGTTCTGAGAAGGTACAGGGACAGCAGAGAATAAAGAACATACCTGATGACCTTCGTCAAGTTGTTTTCACTCTCTGAGGCTCAGTTTCTTTATTATAAAGTGATAATAACAATGTCTACCTAGAGTTTTGAGGATCATGAGCTGACATGTGGAAAGAGATTGCATGGTAACTGCTCAGAATGAACACTTCCTTCCTTTCATCTCCTCCCCTAGACCGTAAGTTCTTTGAGGGCCATATCATGTGGTCTAGAATATCTCCTGGCATCTGGCATCTGAATGCACTGTATTGAATAAATGAATAAATGATGGTTATACATGAAAAATAGCTTATGAAATAATGGTACAAGTAGTAAGCCCTACATGAATTCAGAGAACAGAGAGAGTCTCTCCCCCAAACAGGGTCATTAGGGGATAATTAATTTATGGAAGAGCTGGGCTTGAGCTGGGCTTTAAGATATGGGTAGATATTGGCCATGCAGCAGATGCTGGGCCTGGGAAGTGGAGTAAGCAAAAGTACTGAGAACTGTTTAACTGGAGGTGGGGATTTATATGAGAGAAGAACAAGGTGAAGCTAGGAAAATATATTGGGGCCAAAATAAATTACAGATGGACACTGGTTTAAACTTTATTTTCTGTGCTTCATGGAGACACTGAAACAGATGAGTAGCATGATCAAAGCACGATTTTAGGAAGATTAAACATGTGCAAAGTGAGTTGGGGAGCAAGATAGGAGATTAAGTAGCTACTGCAGTTGTCTAGGAGTGAGGGGAATAGGGGCTTAATGGGCCTCACCCATGGCCTGCTGGCATCTGATGCTGACTGCTGATGGGGAATTTGAGGCTGGCCTCACCCTGTGTCCTGAAGGATTAGATGGAAGGGAGAGGATTAGAGGGCAGGAAATAGCAGTGGAGACTACTCAGTTGCTTGGGGCAAAAAAATCCATAACATTCTTTGGAGTTTTCTTTAGGGCAGATACAGCTCACTTCCTCCATTTTACTGCATCTCCTACCCATTGTCTTGGAGACCGGAAATTGTCAGTGGCTAGTGAGGAGGCTGTTAGCTCCTTTTTTCATATGCTTCCTGCGCAGTCTTCTGGACCCTTACGGCCTCTGCTGACATCTCCCTGTTTTTATGCCATGTGTGGACTTCAGCTGAGGCTTTGTGTCCTCTTCTGAGTTTGGTTAGGTGTAGTCAGTAGTACCTGTTAGAGCTACCCTATTCAACACGTGCCCCAAAGCCTGTCCTTTTCTAACTTTCACATTTGGAGAAATCATTGTTACCACATGTTGCTGGGAAAGCAACTGAGATTACGGTTTGGAGATGGAATAAAAATAAATCAGCTATGGTGATTTCAGGATTATTTGAATGACTTTATATGAAGCACTCCAGGCATCTCTAGTGGCATTCTGAGTAAGAAATAGGCCCGCCAGTGAGAAAGACTGAAACAGAAGTAGCTGCAAAGGAGATGAATCAGAAAATGTGACAGTGCAGGTTCAGCCAGCTTTCAGCAGGACCATCCTCTTGATGAAGTGTCATGTGGGATGCATTATACTTTAACATCTATGGCTGTTCTAACCTATTTATTATTCTGAATTCATTATTTATACCCAAATGTGCCTACAAGAGTTGGTAATGGGGATCACTAGTATAAACTTAATTAATAATATATACATGTTTTTTATTTCACTCCTGTGGAAAATTAGATGTTTCTAAGGGTGAGTAAACTAAAAATTTATCCTGATTTTCTCTCAGTACATATATTTTGGGATTTGTACTGTGTATTA